GAACAAATCTAAACTTATTCTAAAATTTGATGCTATTGCCGATATTTTTTGCTTTCATGCAATACAATTTAAAAATTATGACGCTTGACTCTGTTGCAGTTTTTTTTTACCTCACCCGTATATTCGACCCATATTTTTATTATAAAGATCCTAGATGCTTTATCCAAAATCCTATATATTTTATTTTTTTCTAACTATGAAATTTCTTTTTCGCTCAAATACTTTGTTTCCCACTCCAACCTCGTCGCAACACATTCTATATTCATATCATACACCAACAAAATGGCCAATCAACTTGATTAATAACCAGAGAAGAATGTCAAAAGGAAAATTACACACGTCTTCACACAGTTTTCTTCAGATTAGATGCTGTAGTACGGCATAACAATTACATAATTTTGAAATGTGAATATTGTTGTTATATGCAGACATATGCATATGCTGTACATTAGGGTAAAATTGGAATGTGAAATAAAATATATCAATTTCAAAATTTTATAAAGAAAATATTTTTGATTTCAAATTATAATAAAATAAGAATACAGGGCCCAAATTCGATGTCGAAATGAATCTGTGTTTAAGATTGATTGAAATTTAAATATAAACCGATGGAACCGAACTGAAGCATTCAATATTTAATACTTTCTACCAAAATTTTTGATTTTATCAATTTCAATCGTGATTTTTTCGATATCGAAGGCGAGAATTTGTCTTTAAATGAAGGTAAATGAGATCTTCTAATGGTATACAAGAAGCTCCTCTATAAGAAGACTAGGGGGTTCCCAATGAGAGAAATAGGAGACCAGATAGGGGAGAATAAGAACTCTTGAATAGGAGACTAGAATTTCATCTAATAGGAGATAAAAAGGTCTTCAAATAGAAGACAAAAAGGTCCTCTAAAAAAAAAAATAAATAAATAAAAAACGAAAAATCTAGTAGTAGGAGAATATTAAGGTTTCTAATGGGACAGAGGAAGGACTTCTGATATGAGACCAGTAGGTGACCAAATGAAAGACTTCTAAATGGAGACTAGAAAATCTTTTGAAAGCATACAACCAAACTCCCATTATTAAATAAAGGGGTCCTTCACCAGTTTTTGGCAGTCGTAACTAACACAAATCAATCGTCTCACCTATTTTTCAAACAAGGACTTGTCATCCGAAATAAGTAGTTAATTTTTTGTATCCACTTATTACTTTTTTAGTCCTCTGCTGGTATTGAAGTCGCTTTTTTATACCCTCAGCCATACAGCTAGAGAGGGTGTATATCATTTGGTACGGCTAAAACGTGCCTCATCGAAATAAAGGTCTCTTTGGATCAAATCCGTTTCAGGACATTTGGAGTTTACCTAGCGATGTCTGTCCATCCGTCTAAACCGTCACACTTGGTACATCATTATATTATCAAACTTGGAGTTCGGAGATGGGCAATATTGGCCCACTCCTTCTGGTATCTCCCCAAAAAACTTCGAAATTTTCAAAGAAAATAATTTACTGCATAAAAAGGGAAACAACAATCCTTCAACTTACTTCACTCTATCAAGTACCAACCCCACAAAGGGTCAAAATTTCGAATAATTATAACTCTTATAAAATGTGATGTAAGAGACTGATTGATACACATCACAATATTTTTATTAACTAAAGGTCAGCTGTGAAGATGGAGTATATCGGTCCACTCCTTCTGGGACCTCCCCCACAAAGGGTCAAAATTTTGAATATCCGTATCATAAAACGCGAAATTAACATCCGATTCCATTCAGATTTGGTACATCTCAATACTTCCATTGTTCTGTTATAATGATGGGACCATTTCTTCTGATACCTCCCACACAAAGGGTCAAAGTTTTGAATAACCTAAACGATTATAAAATCCGACATAAACATCCGGTTCTATTCGTATTTCACAAATGTAAGCGTTTTTGCTAACACATGATCTGTTGAGAAGATGATATATATCTGATAACCCCTTCTGGTACTTCACTCCCAAAGCGTCACAATTTTCAATATTTTTGTCTGTCATAACTTGCGAAACAAGTCAGCGATTCTTTACAACTTGTTATATCCAAATATTCACTCAGCAGGCGCCACCCAAGAATGGTTTCCAGCGCACAATGGCCACCAAAATCTCTGGATACCAACCCGTTGGACTATTTTGGCTGAAGTATTTTGGAAAGCAAGGTTGGCACTAAAAAAATACTAAAGTGTCGATCACCTCTAGTAAGCGCTTCGCCGGGAATGGTCCAAAATACAGCAGAGCAACATTCGAGCAGTGTGTGAAGGTAATTCGTACCAAAGGTGACCAATTTGAACAAACCTAAACTTATTCTAAATTTTAATGCTGTTTCTGACATTTTTTGCTTTCATTCAATAAAATGTAAAAAAATGTAAAAATTATGGCGTTTGACTTTGTTGCAGTTTTATTTATCTCACCCTGTATAAGGGAATTAGAGAATTCTTTTCCGGGATGACTTATAGTGAAATTTGATGAGGAACATCTTTGTCCTTGACATAATTCTTCTTCAATGATGCTTTCTATGAGTGTTTTGCCTAAATTCACATAAAGTACTGTTTTAACTCCAAAATGTGTTTTTAATTTAATTTAATGTTTTTAATGTATGTCAATTCCTGGCGTTTGGGTAATATTTTGATGTCTTCCGGTACCCATAGAAGAATTTTATGACAAATAAATTTTTAGAATATTCGGACTTGTTGCCACCTTGTTTATAAAGCACCAAAAAGACCCATTTGGTGACTCGTTTGAAGGTTAAAATGTTCTATTAAAATGATCCTGGCATTGTTATATCTGTTATTGCCGAAGAGACAATGCTACTAAAATGCAAGGATTTCAAGAAATTCTTAAACGAATATTTAACAAACCAGTAAGGAAAGGTAAAAAATCGGGCGGGGCCGACTATTTGATACCAGTTATAATTTGGTTTCAAATGGAAATAATATAGGGGAGGCTTATCTAATTCTGAATCGATTTTCACTAAATTTGACGGAGATATTTTTATCTTTTATACCAAATAATATTACTACATAGTGCATGATGTCAATTCAATAAGGATTTCATTAAAAAAAAATTATATCGGAGTCGATTCTTCGAAATGGAAACGTACGTCCCGAAATTCACTCCATTTGGGCTGATATTAGCCATTATTTGAACAATAAACCTGTATTCGGATTAAGGATATCTAGTACAAAATAACATACTTGTAGGGTGCATATTACGATATTCAACAAAGTTGATGTACTTGCTTCTAGACTGAATGCGGTCGGATCTACCAAAATTCAGGACTTTTGGAATGATATTGGCCATTTGGTCCACAATTAACCTGAAATCGGTTGAATATATCTACGGTTGAATATATTTATGGGAAATCTGAACTGATCTTGATAAAATTTGGCAGAGGTATTTCCGAGCTCTACAAGATATCTGATACCAAATATCATTGTTGTCGAATGCATATTACGAATTTGTGGGACTTAAACACCAAATCGGATGAAACATATATATGGGAGCTATAGTTGTATCTGCACCGATTTCCATCAAAGTTGATGTACTTGCTTCTAGACTGAATACGGTCCGATGTGGACTGATATTGCCCCTTTAGTGCACAATTAACCCGAAATCGTTTGAAGATATATATGGGAGCTATATCTACATTTGAACCGATTCTCACCAATTTCAATAGGGTTCGTCCTTGGGCCAAACAAATATTGTTTGGAAATTTCATCTCAATTGGATAATAAATGCGACCTGCATTTTATTCGCCAGAATACATGTGCAGATGGACGGACGGACTGATATGCATACATTCACGTAGAAAGTGATTCTATGAAGATCCTCCAGGTTACAAACAAATTCACAAAGTCATTATACCCTTCCCACTATGTGGAGTAGGGTATAAAAATGTGGCTATTTCGCTTACTTTGCGGTGAAAACTATCAAACCGCCGCTACACATGTCTCCAATTTTTAGCTCTACTTTCATAATCTGTTGGATTTATTGTGAATATTTTTGGTTCCAGAATATTCTTGGTGTTGCCCAGTGTAATTGAATGATTTGTTTAATGAAGCTAATTTTTACCTAAAAAATATAATGGTTTTCCAGGTGAAAAGTTTCCTCCTTTGATCCCATATCACCCTGATACCCATTCACGTTTTTTTTTATAACAATTCATTGTCCTCTCAAGTCCTTGTGAAATCTATTCCTTACAAAAGTATTAGCCAGGACTCAGATGCAGGAGAGTGGAAGTAAAAAGGCCAAAAACCAGAAAAAAAAAAACGCAATCATTTTTATTATTCCAGATTAGTTTTCATCTTTTATGGATTGCCATTTGGGGGGGCAGTCGTTTTTGTTGTTCATTGTCATGAATTGTAATTTCTGGAAAAGCAAAAATTTCATAATAGAGACGAATTTGACTCAAGGGTACCACGGAAATGGATGTGGCCTCTGATTGTCTGTCTGTCTGGCTGCCTGGGTGGCTGGCAAATGCAAATGTTGGTCCCAATGGCAAATGGGGAGAAAATCGTTAATTTCACTCACATATCAACATTCATTTTAATATTTTTCTTTTTTTGTATGAAATGTTAATAATAATGACACGCACACACACACTTATGTACATAATAAACTCTCACACATACAAATTGTTAATGTATAGGCCTCCTTAAACATTTGCCCTGTTGCAGTGTTAATGTCGGCTCTCGAACTACACAGTTAACTGACTGACTAGCTGGTTGTCTGATGGCCACAAACAAGTAGTTGTCGTTTTCAGTTTTTTTCCCAGCTCGAATATCCGGAACTCAAAATGAACACACACACATACAGAAAAAATAACAACAGAAAAACCTAATGTTAATTATCTAATAGACACATTGGTTATTTATCTCTCTCTCTGTATGTCAGTTTCTTGTTGCTGCTTCTTCATCGTGTTGTAGTTGTTGTTTTTGTAGTTTTTCTATATTAGTTAAGTATGGAATGGAATGTTAGTATCTATGCTATGTTATGCTATTTGTTGATGTTGTTGCGGCTGCTATTGGCTTCATCGCGATATAAATACACATGATGTGGAGCGGTAGGAGGATATCCGCATCCGTCCACCAGCAGGGCACACATCCGTCAAGCCCTATGGGTTTGCTTGAATGGTTGCTTGGTTGGTCGGCTGACTGGCTCGTTCGCCGGTAACCATGGCTGCGATGAAATGATGATGCCAGTGTTGTTGTTGTAGTTTTTTCTCCTCTTTTTTAGTATCGTCGTCATCGTTGACATAGCATTTCTGCAAACAATGATGCTGCAATTACTGTAAATAACACAACCGAGAGTATGGGAGACATTGTCGACCCTGATGCATGCTGCATGGCAGCTGGTTCTTCACCTAAAAAAAGAAAAAAAAAAACAAGAAAAAAATATGAAGAAGAAGAGGAGCAAATAGAAAAGAGCGTCAGGAAACGGAAATGGAGAACATTAATGAATATATGGCATATAAATAGATGCTTGTTGGCAGAGGCTAAACATCATTAGCAGGATGTGTTAGTGTCGATGTGTGTGTGTGTTTAAATGGTTCTGTGTCGTAAAAAAATAAATGTTTTTAAAATGTGATGCAATGTGTGTGCGGAATTTAAAGAACCAATGTTTACTTGAAGTTCACATAAAAACTAGAGTGTTGATATTTGCGGAACCTAATGGAACTGGGAGCAGGAACTTTGAGAACCAACGAAAAATACTAAAAGATTTAACATCATTAATCCCGGATTGACAAATGTAAGTTTAAGATAAGGTCGAATTTTTGAAAATTTTCTACTTTAAGAGCACGAAAAGTACTTAATGGAATGGTAGGGGCTAGAACTTTAGAATTTTGTAAAAGATCTAGTTGTGGTGTATAAAGGTGGATTAAGGTGGAAATTCAGGACAAAAAGTAATAAAAAAATACAAAATGGCACAACATTGTTTTTCGGTGATCGCTAAGAGCTAGAAATCCGCACTTAGATGGCACGCAAAACGGTAAAAAGTAAACAAGTAAAAAAACATTAAGTTCGGCCGGGCCAAACTTTTAATACCCTCCACCTTAGGGTAAAAGAATCATTAGAAGAAATGTGGCAAAAACCATTAAATTCCGAATATCGGGAGGTACCGTTATATGGGGGCTAAACCAAAACGTGGACCTATAATTACAATGTTTCGCCACACGAACTAGGACCCATTATGACCCACAAATACCAATTTTTAGACAAATCAGTGAAAAAAAGTGGCAAAAACCATCAAAATACCGAATATCGGGAGGTACCGTTATATGGGGGCTATACCAAATCATGGACCCATACATGCAATGTTTCGCCACCGGAGCTGGAACCCATTATGACTCACAAATACCAATTTTCAGACAAATCCATGAAAAAATGTGGCAAAAACCATTAAAATGCCGAATATCGGGAGGTACCGTTATATGGGGGCTACACCAAAACGTGGACCTATAATTACAATGCTTTGCCACACGAACTAGGACCCGTTATGACCCACAAATACCAATTTTTAGACAAATCAGTGAAAAAAAGTGGCAAAAACCATCAAAATACCGAATATCGGGGGGTACCGTTATATGGGGGCTATACCAAATCATGGACCCATACATGCAATGTTTCGCCACCGAAGCTGGAACCCATTATGACTCACAAATACCAATTTTCAGACAAATCCGTGAAAAAATGTGGCAAAAAAAAAAACCAAAATACCGAATATCGGGAGGTACCTTTATATGGGGGCTATACCACAACGTGGACCGATATATCTCATTTTCAATACCAACCATTCTAGACACAATGCAAATAGCTCTGCTAAATTTTGGCGCTCTACGTCAAATAATGTGGGCTGTATCGTGATTTCAACAGACAGACAGACGGACATCGTTAAATCGACTTAGAATTTTATGATGATTATGAATATATATACTTTATGGGGTCTAAGACGAATATTTAAGGATGTTACAAACGGAATGACAAAGTTAATATACCCTCCTTTCCAAGGTGGAGGGTATAAAAATAAAAATGGTACAACACTGGATTTGAGCGTACGGTCAGACTTAGAACTTTGAAATTTTGCATGAGGCTCACTCCATGCGTAAAAGGGAAAATATAAACCAGTAACCAAAAGTCAAATACCGGGCGGGGCCGACTATACAGGGTGAGATGAAAAAACTTCAACCAACTTCAGACTGCTGACATTTCTAAGCCACTCGTCCTACAGTTGTTAAAATTATTCCAGTGACAGCTCATTATTAACTTAGTACAATTAAGTACTTTTTGTTTTTTAAATCCATAACGGGCGGGCCCGACTATGTGATACCCTACACAACTATGTATATTTAGCAGAGCTCCCGTAACAAAAGAAGTTATTTGAAATGAGTAGATCATACCACTTATCAACATTTGGCTTTAGAGCAGTTATGATTTGGTTTCAGAGGGAACTAATATTTGGGAGGTATATCAAATTCTGAATTGATTTTCACTAAATTTGATGCAGATATTTTCATCGTTTATGCCAAATAACATTGCTATAGAGTTTCACGATATCACTTCGAGAAAGATTATACTAACTAACTATTGGAGCCGAGTTCCACCAAATAGAAACGTGATACAATTTGGCATAGGTATTTTTGGGCTGTACCTGATATCTGATACCAAACATCATTCTTGTGGGTGCCTATTACGAATGTGGGGGACTTAAAAACCAAATCGGATGATTCCTATATATGGGAGCTATAGCTATATCTGAACCAAATTTTCACCAACTTTTATGTACTTGCTTCTAGACTGAATTGTGTTGGATGTGCCAAAATTCAGGTAATTTGGACTGATATTGGTTATTTGGTGCACAATTAATCCGAAAACGGTTGAAGATATATCTGAACCGATCTTGACAGATTGAATTCGATCCGATGTACAAAAATTCAGGACTTTTGGACTGATATTCATTGGTGCACAATTAACCCGAAATCGGTTAAAGATCTATATGGGAGCTATATCTAAATCTGATTCGATTATCACCAATTTCAATAGGGTTCGTCTTGAGCCAAACAAATATTTTGTGGAAAATTTCATCTCAATCGGATACTAAATGCGACCTGCATTTTGTTCATAAGTATACATGGACAGACGGATGAACGGACTGACATGCATGCATCGACTCAGAAAGTGATTCTTTGCAGATCATCCAAATTAACTATGGGTCTATATCGCTTCCTTCTCCCTGTTACAAACAAATGGTCAAAGACATAATACCCTTACCACTAGGCTGGGTTCGCCTAAAAGTCTGCTGCAAAAGTGTTAATTGTAAAATGTTAAAAAGCTACTTTACATATGACTCTAACACAATGTGACAACTGACCTTTAGATGGTACGAAAAGCGGAAAATGGAAAAAATGGTACAACATTGGATTTGAGCGATCGATAAGACTTAGAATTTTGAAATTTAGCATGAAGCTCACTCAATGTGGAAAGGGGGAAAATATAAACCAAGATTTTGAACTTGGTAATTATGGATATAAAAAATATAATGGGTAAAGCCTAGTTTCCACGTCGTGTTAGAGTCATATGTAAAATTATTTTTTAACATTAAATAATTAACAATTTTGTAGTAGGCACTCAGCAATTTTAAAACTTGAACGAAACACACGAAGTTGCAACTCCCCATATAAATGGCTTTAAAAAAGGCAGGCTCTATGAGGATAATAGGGTCTTTTCTTAAAGCTTAAATCTCAAAATGTAGGTCATAATAAGAGTAAAATAAAAGACCCTAGCAAATGTCCGCTACTTCAACTGTGAAAAGTCCACCTTAAAATTTTAGATTCATTCTAACAGTTCGCGATAGGCCTTTTAATGCTCAAAATGCACAATTGGTTTAGTTTGACAGATTTTTTAATCAAAACTTCGTATATCGTATTAAATTTTCAGACTTTCAAGGTATTATATATTTATTATTTTTTCTTTTTTGAAAAGAAAAAATAGTCTTCCAAATCTTTGATTTTGAAGTTTTTCGAGGGGGATATTGGTAAAACCATTGCACAATGGATCCACATCTAATTTTTCTGTTCAAAACTATTTCAATCTCTTCATATATAAACCCTAAAAAACACCGGTGACCTCAATATCAAATTTTATCATTTTATCTCTATCCTTTCACCTAATACCCAATTTAGTATAACTTAGTACTTTTCGAACAATTTTAGTACACATTTTTAAAAATCACCTCCAACCACTGACACCAATAGTGGCATCTATATCGAATTTTACAATTTCAGCCCTATTTCTTCACCCAGTACCATTCAGTACTTTTCGTACAATTCTAGTACACATTTCCGAAACCATCTCCATATGTCCAGGCTACACATGAAAATCGATCCTAATACCAAATTTCAGATTTCAAGCACTATATCTTTACCCAATACCAAATTGTACAAAATATGGTACCATTTAGTACTTTTCATACACATTATTATTATTATTATTATTATTATTATTATTATTATAGTACACATTTCCAAAAGCAAATCATTATCACAAACCTACCACAAGGATGGACCCCACTACAAACTTTCGAAATTCCAGCTCCTTCCGTTCACCCTTAGCCAAACTATTCCAAATTTAGTACCTTTTAGGATAGTTCGCACACTTAGTATACATTTCCAAAACCACCTTCATATATTAAACTAACTTTGCTACCTTGATTCCCACACTAAATTTTCAGATTTTAGCTCCATTAGAAGTTTAGAACTTTTCGTAACCTTAAACTTCGCATTCCCGAAACCGCTTCAAAAAGCAACTGTAAGGGATAATGGGTTGCTGAAACAGTGAAAATAAATGTCACTGTTAGCGTCTGTGACTGATAGAAGGAGCAATATATATTGCCATAACCATACAAAATTTATGATAGAGAATTTTAATCTGCTACAGGCCTATCGGTTACATTTAGAATCATTTTGATATGGCCCTCATAACCCCAATCTCAAATATTTTATATGTTTTTATATTCTTCGCCATATCGCGACGGAGGGTGTACAAATAATAGATTGTCTCTTTGGACCCCATTCATCTCAGGATATTTGGAGCCGATCTAGCAATGTCCGTCTGTCTGGCTTGCTATTGCGCACGATAACTCTTGAAGAGTGTATCCGAATCGGTCCAAACTTGGTTCATCGTAATATTATGGTCAAACTTAGATTGAGTTAGAGGATTGGCAGTATCGGCCCACCGCTTCTGGTATCTGCCCCACAACGGATAAAGAAAGAGAAATACCAAATTCTCATAAAATGCGAAATGAGTATCCGATTCATTCTAAGCTTCACACATTCTAATATTTTCACTAACACAAGATGTGGTATAAAGACCATAGAATTAATAGACATTTTGGTCTACTACTTTTGGTGAAACCTTTGCCTGACAAGTATTCTTATAGAATTGCAAATAATGTTTGATTTTCTTTAAATTCTACAGAACCCAATATTTTTATCAACATTAGATGAAGTAGAATACTTTGGTCCATTGTATGATATTTCCAAAAATGATCACATATCCCAAATCTGGAATCGAAGTCGAAATGGACAATATTGGCCAAATCCTTCGGACCCTCCCCCATTAAAGATTAAAAGCTTTAATAATCATAATGCAAATCAATGACATGAAAAAATCTGCAACCAACTTCAGACTGCATTCATTTCAAAGCCACTCGTCCGACAGCTGTTAAAATTATTCCAGTGGCAACTCATTATGTTGCTTACAAGCGCACAAAAGCATTTTGGTGAGAATTTTCCAGAAAAAAAAAAAAACTTATTCGTGATGGAATTCAAGCGTGATAGTGTGATTTCTTTATATTTAGCTGGAAAACCACAAGTGGCTATCGTTAGAGCACTCCAGCATTTAAATGTGAATAAATATTTTGTATCTCGTACCATCGCTCGTTACTGTGATACTGGTATCGTAGCCCGACGTCAAGGAAGTGGACGGATGAAAACAGCAACATCAGCAGAAATGGTTCGAAAAGTAAAGAAGCGACTTGATCGAAACCCGCGTCGCAGTGGCCGAAAAATGGCACGTGAACTGAACATATCGCAATATTCCATTCGGCAAATATTCAAAAATGAGCTCGGCGTAAAGCCATTGAAATTCCAAAAATTGCAAGAACTTACACCGCAACAGAAAGATGAGTTGCTTTGCTTGGCCGAAAGTGGTGAACTGCCGAATTGGGTTTTCTCCGATGAGAAAATATTCGTTGTCCAGCAGTTTGTAAACAAACAAAATGATCGAGTTTACTTGCCAAAGAGGTCAGCTGAAAATGTACACCCTTGGTTGGCCACCAGAACTTAATCGCCGGTCATCGTGATGGTGTGGGCCGCCGTAACAGCCGATGGCCGCTCTCCGCTCGTATTAATCGACCGTGGCATGAGAATAAATGCCGAATATTATCGCGAAAATATTCTGGAGGGGCACGTAAACATTTTGGGCGCAGACCTAGGACATTCCAACTGGACTCAGCACCATCGCACTCAGCACGCGCCACCCAAGATTGGTTACAAAATGAGGTTCTTCGCTTCATTTCCAGCGCACAATGGTCACCAAAATCTCCGGATTCCAATCTGTTAGACTATTGTGTCTGGAGTATTTTGGAAAGCAAGTTTCGATCACCTCAAGTAAGCGCTTCGCCGGGAATGGGCCAAAATACCGCAGAGCAACATTTGGGCAGCGTGTGACGGTTTCATTGGCCCTTAATAAGGCCATAATTCGTGTCAAAGGTGACCAATTCGAAAAAATTTTAACCTTTTCTACAATTTGATGGTATTTCCGACATTTTTTGCTTCCATTCAATAAATTAAAAAAGTTAGAATCTTGATTTTTTGCACGAGGGTTAGTGTTGATATGTAGGCGTTTGGGTTCTAAAAAAAATCGTTCCAAAGGTTACGGAGAGTACTAAATTTTTTATTGGGTGAAAGATTAGATTTAAAATTCCGAAATTCTGTATCACATATAACATTTAGAATCATTTTGATCGCGACAGAGGGTGTACATCATTTGATACGACCAAAACGTGCCTCTTCCAAAGTTTTAGACCCTACGTTTCCGTTGCATGGCATAGGGTTGTCTGTCTGTTTGTAGAAGGGAGTATCCGATTTCCTCCAAACTTGGTACATCGTAAAATTATGGTCAAACTTAGATCGATTCACTTCTTCTGGTTCCTCCCACACACGCTCATTCAATACGATATAAACATTCGATTCAATTCAAGCTCAGTACATCTCAGTATTTTCATCAAAACAAGATCTATTGTGAAGATGGTAGATATCGGTCCACTCCTTTTGGTACCTTCTCCAGAAAGTGTCAAAATTTGGAATATTTACAACTCTTAAAAAATATGAAATAAAAGTCTGACTATTCTAAAATTGCACACATTCCAATATTTTTATTAACACAAGGTATGTTATTAAAATTGGATATATTGATCCACTCCTTCTGGTACCTCCTCCACAACGGGTCAAATTTTTCAATAACCATTAATCTCATAAAACTCGAAATTAGCATACGATTCCTTTTGTCAAACTCCAATATCAACACAAGACATGTTGTGAAGTTGGTAGATATCGGACGACTCCTTCTAGTACCTCACCCACAAAAGGTCAAAATTTTGAACAACCAAAATGATTATAAACGGCGAATTGGGCATCCAACTCCCTTCAAATTTCACACACCCCAATATTTAGACCCTACACCACATTGTAGTAAGGGTATTATGTCTTTGTGAATTTGTTTGTAACAGGGAGAAGGAATTAAGATAGACCCATAGTTACTTTTGAGGATAATCATAGAATCACTTTCTGAGTCGATTTATGCATGCGTTCTATGCATTCTTGTGAACAAAATGCAGGTCGCATTTATTATTGAGATGAAAATTTGCAAACAAAATTTGTTTGGTCCAAGGACGAACCCTATTGAAATTTGTGATAATTGGATCAGATTTAGATATAGCTGCCATATATACCTTCAAGCGATTTCGGGTTAATTGTGCACCAAATAACCAATATAAGTCCTAATGACCAGACCTGATAAGTTATGGCACATAGAAATATTTATATTAAACTTCGGTCAGGTACGAAATGGACAATATTGGTCAACCCTTTCGGACCCCATTAAGGGTAAATCGCAAGTGGCTGAGGCTGTCGGCTAAACCGATGGATACTTTATAACTTGTTTTATATAGTTTTGGTCCAAAATCGATCTGCAAACTTTAATTTCCCTTCGAAATATTTTTTATCCTTTTTTTCGACTTATGTTGGAAAGTCATCAAAAGATTCACTTCCGACAACTTTCGATTGGAAGTCTGAATGAGTTTGAATTTGAAGATGCTGTCCGACCAAACCTTCATTGTTTGGTTTGCTGGGTAACTCAGCCTATGTAAAAGCTTCTGGGGTAGTTGTATTTCCACGTTATCCAATTTTGAATATTTTATTAAAATTAATCCGATTCTTGGAAGAAGCCAGTAAATCCAGCTCATATGTTTTTTTTTGTTAATAAAATATTCAAAGAATTTCCGATTCATGACAAAAGAACAAGTGTTGCCATGTTTGCACTATTATTAGTTTACATGTTTTTGTTTTCGTTATTTAAATCCTGCAATCCAATTATTAACAGAATTTGTGATGTTTTGTTGGTTCAACTTTGTTCAATTTACAATTTCATATTTACCGATAATATATCAGCAGCAGCAGTAGCAGCAGTGGAAGAAGTTTTGCAATTGTGCATGAAAATATAATATTGAAATACGTGCAGAGGATGCCATGCTAGGGGGGAGAGGGGTTGGTCTTGGTGAAAAAAAGGTGTGGGCGGATGGTTGGATGGCTGAATGAATGGAGCGATGGTGGATGGCATTGAGTTTGAGTAATGAAATGCATGCATATTGTTTATTATTGGATTGCTGCAGACATTTCGAAGGGTGTAACTTTTTTTTAGTATTTTTTTTTTTGATTATTTTCCACACTGAGAGATTTCAACACTCCCTCGGTTTGGAAAATTTATATCGTGTTTGATATTTGATTTTGTTGGTTATCACTTTTCCTGCTGCTGTGAGTTCTCTTTGTTCAATGTGTAGTCAATGCTTATTAACCCCACCAGATGGGTGGAGGGAGTAGAGGTGAGGAGTGGGGAATACCTACCATTTAGTACGTGTACCATCACAGTTCCAGTGATATCATTACCAAGGGTACACGAATAGTTGCCAGTATCATGTCGATTGGCATTGGCAATATAGAGGCGACTGAAAGCACGTCCGGGTAGCATATCGGTTTTAACGCTGCAACGAAACAAAACGAAATGGAAAAAGGGGTGAATAAGAATATGAATAGTAAACCACAGCGCCGCAGTAAGCAGTAACTATAAAAAGAAATGTATTTCCAACCGACTCCCCCAAAACCCATTTTTATGGGAAACAACAACAACAATGACAAATCAAAAATCCCCCTCAGTAATAAATATATACATGTATATATTGATTCGGAGGAATTGAAACGCATGATTTACAATGAACAAATATGTTTTGCTTTGTTTGTTTGCTTTCAAAATATATTTGATGGCAAATCACACGCATATCTCTCAGTCATACGCGACTTTCGAGTGGAATTTGTTGTTGTTATTGTCTTTATTCTCGTAGTTGTTGTAATACCCAATCACCACCTCAACTGCACAGTGTTTAGAATAGGGGTAAGTTTTTTTTTCTCAATTTCTTCTTTGTTGGGGAAGGATATTCATAAGCATACCTACAATTTCTATTTCTTTCCAGTGGTGGTTGATGTATTTAAGCTCAGATTTTTTATACCTTCCAGCATAGTATGGAGGATATATTAAGCTTGTCATTCCGTTTGTAACAGCTCGAAATATACAGGGTAAGATAAAAACCTGCAAAAAAGTCAAACGACATAATTTTGACATTTTTATACCCTTCACCGCAAGGTGGTCAGGGTATTATGTCTTTTTGCATTTGTTTGTAACAGGAAACGAGGAAAAGAGATAGACCCATAGTTCCTTTTGGTGATCTGCATAGAATCACATTCTGAGTCGATTTATGCATGTCCGTCTGTCCGTCCATCTGTCCATGTATTTTTGTAAACAAAGTACCGTTCGCATTTATTACCCGATCCAGATGAAATTTTGCACAAATCATTTGTTTGGCGCAAGGACGAACCCTATTGAGTTATTGGAGATAATCGGTAAACAATTAGATATAGCTCTCATATATATCTTCGTTCGATTTGTCTTTGATTGTGCACCAAACGTGTAGTATCAGCCCGAATAGTACGGAATTTTGCACATACAACCAAATTAGGCCTGAAAATAAAAATGCCAAATTTGATCGAAATCGGTTCAGATATAGCCATAGCTCCAATATATATTGTTCATCCGATTTGTTATTTTAGTCCTCCGCAGCCGTAATATGCACTCTTTAACAATATTTGGGAAAATATATCAAATACAGCTCAGAAATGCCTTATCTAAATTTTATCGAGACCGATTCGGATTTGGATACATCTCCCATATATAACTTCGTCCGATTTACCTTTTATTGTGCACCAAACGTCTAATATTTGCCCAAATGGATGAAATTCGGCACTTACGACCGAATTGAGTTTAGAAGCTAGTATGTCAAATTTGGTGAAGATCGGTTCAGATATAGCTATATCTCCCATATATATTGTTCATCCGATTTGTTATATTTGTTACCCACAGCCGTAATATGCACTTCGTAACAACGATATTCAGGGAAATATATCAAATGCAGCTCAGAAATATCTTTGCCAAATTTTATCGAGATCGGTTCAGATTTGGATATAGCTTCCATATATATTTTTATCCGATTTCAAATTAATTGTGCACCAAATGGACAATACAAGCCCGAATTTAAAAGATACAAATGCTCCGGCATATTTCGTCCTTTGAATTTTAAATTATAATTATAATCATAGCGTGTATGATTGAATTCTCCCATAAAAACTTTTAATTGTTATGTGAAGCTCTACTAAATTAGCAATGTGGTGTAGGGCCTCGCCCGACTTTAAGACTTTCTTTGCTGGTTTTATTTTATTGAATGAAAGCAAAAAATGTCGGAAATAGCATCAAATTTTAGAATAAGTTTAGATTTGTTTCGAATTGGTCACCCTTGGCACGAATTATGGCCAAATGATGCGAAGAACCTCATTTGGAAATATTCTTGGGTGGCGCGTGCTGAGTCCTGTTGGAATGTTCAAGGTCTGAGGCCAAAATGTTTGCGTGCCCAAGGTTTTAATACACCCTTCAGAATATTTTCGCAATAATATTCGGTATTTATTCTGATGCCACGGTCGATTAATACGAGCGGAGATCGGCCATCGGCTGTTATGGCGGCCCACACCATCCCCATGGCCGGACGCTTCTTTACTTTTCGAACAATTTTTGCTGTAGTTGCTGCTTTCTTCCGTGCACTTCCTTGACGTCGGGCTACGCTACCAGTATCACGGTAACGAGCGATGGTACCAGACACAAAAGATTTATTCACATTTAAATGCCGGAGTTCTCTAACGATAGCCACATGTGGTTTTCCAGCCTAATATAAAGAAATCCCACTATCACGCTTGAATTCCACCACAAATAACTTTTTTCTGGGAAATTCTAACCAAAATGCTTTTGTTCCCTGGTAAACAATATAATGAGCTCTCACTGGAATAATTTAAACAGCTGTCGGACGAATGACTTGGAAATGACAGTAGTCTGAAGTTGGTTGCAGTTTTTTCATCTCAACCTGTATATATATTATTTACCAGCATAAAATTCTATATCGATTTAGCGATGTCCGTCCGACCGCCTGTGGCAATCACTCTAGCTCCCGAACAAATTGAAGTAGGTTGATAAAATTTTACCCAGACGTGACTTTGGTCTGCAGGTCTTTTGGTAGGTTTGGGTATAGCCCTCATACAACGACATCTTTCTATATTCGGTATTTTGATGATTTTAGCGACATTATTCACCTGAATTTTTTTCAAATTTCGTATTTAACGGATACTACAGCCTATGACAGAAAATTATCTATGTAGGTCCACGTCTTCGTATAGACCCTAAAATAACGGAAATTCCCTGTATTTGGCATTTTTAATTTTAAGAGAATTTTTAATCGATTCTATTTTTTTGAAAATTTTCAAAGTCATTCCAAATGGTGGAGGGTATTCAATTGTTTTTTAACTTGTTATTTTTTTTTTTAATATTTATTCCCCAGAGTGGTCATTTATGGTAGAATCGCCATTTGTCTTTTGTCGAAGTCCGTTAAATGTATTTGAAGTTAATTTAGCCATGTTCATCTGTCTGACCGGCTGATACAACCGATAACTTTCAATGGGAGTATGCACTTTTTTCCGCGTCGACCCCCTCCCTCGGAAATCTCCCCACAAAATCTCAACATTAACAAATAAAACAAGTACAAAAGCAGCTAAGTACGACCGGGCCGAATTTTCGGAAGGAACTAAAAAAAAATTCAAAAGAAACTCCGCCGAAAAATATCGCTAGGCAGCAGTTACGATTCGATACGACTTCAAACACGAAATTTGAAACAATTCCGGTGAATAATGTCGATTATATCATAAAAATACCGAATAAAGGGAGATACCGTTGTATGGGGTTATACAAAGACGTGGACCTGCATAGACAATTTTCCGTCATGGGTTGTAGTACCCAATACGAAATTTGAAATAATTCTGGTGAATAATGTCGCTAAAATCATAGAAATACCGAATATCTGGGGTAAAACGTGGACCAACTCCTTGTGCGGATTTTCAGAAAATTCCATTGAAGAATGTGGCTACAATCGTCGAAATACCGAATATCGGGGGTACCGTTTTATGGGTGTTATACGAAATAGCGGACCTATATAGACAATTCTCTTTCAGGGGATAAAATACTCAGAGGGAACTTCTTGTATATTTGCAGAGAATTACTTTGGGATGGTAATCTTTTCCAGGCCATAAAATACGCACAGGGAACTTCTTGTGTAGAATTTCAGATGATTCCATTGAAAAATGTGGCTAGAATAATCAAAATGCCGAATATCGGCATTTACTAATACTAATACCAATACTAATACTAATACTAACACTAATACTAATACTAATACTACTAATACTAATACTAATACTAATACTAATACTAATACTATACTATACTAATACTAATACTAATACTAATACTAATACTAATACTAATACTAATACTAATACTAATACTATACTAATACTAATACTAATACTAATACTAATACTAATACTAATACTATACTAATCTAATACTAATACTAATACTAATACTAATACTAATACTAATACTAATACTATACTAATACTAATACTAATACTAATACTAATACTAATACTAATACTAATAATACTAATACTAATACTATACTAATACTAATACTAATACTAATACTAATACTAATACTAATACTAATACTATACTATACTAATACTATACTAATACTAATACTAATACTAATACTAATACTAATACTAATACTAATACTAATACTAATACTAATACTAATACTAATACTAATACTAAATACTAATACTATACTAATACTATAATACTAATACTAATACTAATACTAATACTAATACTAATACTATACATGTCCGCACGATAACTCTCGAAGGGAGTATCCCAAACTTGGTACATCGTAATATTATTGTCAAACTTAGATTGAGTTCGGAGATGGGTAATATCGATCCACTCTTTCTGGTACTTCCCCCACAAACGGTCAAAATTTCCAAAAAGTATTTTGCTGCACAGAAAGAAAAAGAATAATCCGATTTTGCAGCAACTTTGCTAATCCTAAAATTTGCAACAGTGCTAGATCAAGTCCGAAAATGGAGAATATCGGTCGACTCCATCAAGTCCCTCCCAAACATAGGGTCAACATTTTGAATAAATATTACTCCCATAAAATGTGATGTAAGAGTGTGATTGTCTTCAATTTACACACGTCACAATATTTTTGTTAACCCAAGGTCTGGTGTGAAGATGGTATGGGTCAACATTTGCCTATTTATTTCATGAAAGCTATAAAACAAGAAATTACCATTCGATTCCATTCAGACTTGGCATATCTCAATATTTCTATCAATACAAAATTTGTCATGAAGATGGTAGAAATCGGACCATTCCTTCTGTTACCTCCCCAACAAAGGCTTCAAGATTTTGAAAAATAAAACGCTTAAAGAAAGCGAAATGAATATCCAACCCTCTTCAAATTTCACGCTTAGAAACATTTTTAAT